GATGCCCAAAGATCCTGTTGAAAGCTCTGTGGAAAAATACTGAACATTCTGGTAAAGACCAATTAATTTAAAACCCTGTGTTGCAGCTTGATTTGATTATTGTAAGGAAAAATAATATGACCTAAGTATGCTACAGTACTTAGATGGGTAAGGCAGACAAGTGTAATTTCTATAATGCAGTAATCAATCTTTTACATTAAGAATAGATTAAAAAGTGTCCTGTAAAAAGCATCACTCATAGTACGAAACTCCAGAAGAAAGAACTCTTTTCACAGCTGATATTTTGGCTTTGCAGAGCCATAAAAACACAAGCACAATTGGTAACGGTAAAGAAAACAGCAGCCAGTTTAGGCGATCCACTTCTGTGGTGATGTGGCATAACTGAAAACACGGACTTGCAATCAGTTTTCAGTAAGACATGCTCGCCTCATTCACACAAGCACCTTTTTCTAGGGTTTTTCTATATAAGTGCTTTCTATCTAACATCCACACACTTTCAAACTCTGATGGATGCATCAGGGAGCAACTTGGGGTTAGTATCTTCCTCAAGGATATTTAGCATGCAGACTGGAGCAGCCAGGGCTAGAACTACCAACCATCCGATTAGCAGATGACCTGACTGCTCTACTTCCTGAGCTACAGCTACCCCCAGTCAGAAGGATCCTGGCTTGACTGATCTGTGTTGGTATGGTATACATTGACTTTTAAATGTCCCCCATTCCGAATGGCAATTTCAAGAACGCTAGTCTGTCATTTTTCACTTCCTCCTTCGTGAACTTGATATGTTTGTCCACTGAGTTAATTTGATCTGTGAATTGTGGTGAATGTAATTTTCATACAGGTGTCATCACATACCTGAACCAATGACTCAGTGATATTCCAAGAGAGGACAACAGAGCCATGTCCTCCATATCAAAGTCAGCCACAATAGATGAAGCTGGGGACACACACATTTCTGCCTGTAGCACTGGTCCTTGTGTATGAAATATGTTATTGTAGTTCTAAGAACAGACACACGTGGTCGGTGTTGAGTGTGGTCCTATTGTCATGGGTGGGGTCACCCTACAATCTCTTACAAACCAATCTAATCTATTACCTTTTTCCTGTAATCGCCACCAGGTTCTCATTTAGGGGGCTCATAAGAACTTTTGCCACTAAGAAGAGAAAATTTTCTCATGACAGTCTGTCTGGTCTAGTAATAGCATGCACCTACCCTCTTCTGCTGGAAGGATGATAATGTTGTCCTCACAGAGCGATGTCAGTGTCTTCCTCACCACAATGCTAGTATTCTACGGTAAAGCAATCAGTATTTAAGATTGGACTCTCATCATCTAGTAGTGAACAAACTGGGTGTCATCAGGATTCTACAACACAGAGCGAACACTATGCCTGCAGACACAAAGGTCAGGGAAGCAAGACAACATCGTATCAAAAAGGCTTCGAGTAAATGTGGTTAGCCCACTCCATTTCAAAAATTGCTCCAACCTAAGGATCAAGTGTCCATAGGTTGTCCTTAGAACAGACAGAGTAATAGTATAATAGTGTATTGTTGTGAATTATACCAATCGACCAGCTCTCTAAAAAGAAAACTTTAAACCCATAAACTGATTTAGAAGACCGTTGATTGGCCCACAAAACAGGTCTTGGCTCTATAAAAACAATCCTTCCCTAAAGCAAGAAGATCGTAGAATTCCTCACTGAAAGATGACAGCGAGAATAATCCCAGATTTCTTCTCACCATTCTAGCCTAGGTCTGATGATTTGAGGATTCCCCTAACTTTAGCTAGTAATGACTTCATGAATTGCTTCACAATAAAATTGTAACAAAAAACCCCCCAAAACATTTATATATGTACCTTTTAAACCCTATTTCTGTCAGACTGCTCAAATAGTATTTAATACTTAAACCTTAAATATGATGAATTTTTATTAATGGTTACGTACCTTACTGTGCTTGTTTTGAACTCAGTGCCGCATTTAGTACCATTAACCGCAAGATTTTACCAGAGAGAATAGAACGTACCTTTGGTATTAAATGCGTGCCTTATAGTGTGGAAAATACGTTATACAGAAGAAAA